TTTCAAATAAAAAACAACTATAGTCAAAAATTTTTTAAAATTTTGAAAGGTTCTTGAAAAAAAACCTCACAAGAATTGTGTAGCCCTAAAATATATTAAATCACAAAAGGGCACCTCAATCATTAACCAAAATATACTAAGAAAAAGTGTTAATTTTTATCTTCTTTTATAATTCTTGAAATCTAAAAACGACAATGCAAGTAAATATATGGGGAACTTTAATAATCTAAAAGTTCAATAAATCTGAACCATTACTACAAAAATATACCCACAGATTTATTATGTGAAAAGTTAACTGCTAATTTCTTTTAAAATAACCCTATCATAACACAATAAATTTTTTATACAGTTACAAAAACCCACCACCCACTATGTAAATTAACATCATTGCAGTCATATGGGAAGAACATGAAAACACAACCTGATATTTAATGAGTGCATAATTTTTATATTTAATATTAGTCCATAACCATTACAACTGCTGAGTATCAATAAGAATTTATCTCTTGCTGTCCAGGAACTAACTGTTTCAAAACTATATATCAAGCCTAATCTCAACGTACGAAACGCGCTTAAGTGTTGTAAGTATCTGCTAAAACTCTGCATTAGTAGGGGGCGGAAAACACGATAACAAGTTTTTCAAACTCCTATACCTCCTTATGAGCGGAAAGAATTGATCTGCTTTTGGTTCCTCACAAATTTTTCATTGGATTACTTAGTAGCGAATAAACAATAACCACCAGGCCCATATGGATGCCAACTAGTGATGCTTCAAAGGGTGATAAATGAATCTTTCAGGAAACTTTTTCTTTAACCTAAAGACACAAGTTAAGTTGTTCGTTGATCAAATGAAATTGGAAACCCGGCAGTTGTTTTGGAGCAACATTTGGGTCGGAAAACATAAATAGATTTTTAACTCATACGGCATTATATGTTTGGCCTCTTGACCGGTTCTGTGTTTATTGGAATCTGAAAATGCCATAATAAGAGCGTTACCATACTTTTGGCAGTATTGCATTGAAAACTAGTACAATATTTGAAACACACAACACATACACACAACTACACACACCACATACACAAACATGCTGTGTGGATTAAAAACCCCACAACTGCTGATGATAAACATCCATTCATATCTTCATGGATGTTCCCTTCTAGGAAAATTCATTCAAGACTCTTATGTTTTAAGTGCCAATAAAAACAAATGAACCATTTATGTCCAGCAAGTATCTATGTAAAATACTGCTTAACTAGAGAAGAAATTTTCTATGATTAATCAATAATACCATTCTGTTTAAGGCCATCAATCATGGTATTACTAATAAAAATATTATAATGCCTAATTGATAATGCTTTTGTGGGTATATGCTTTACTACTACTGGTTCATTTGTTATTGTCCTTCATAGTGCTGCTATATGTACATATATATGAGGCAATGAAAGAAGCTTAAGCAAATTGTGATATAAATGACTAAGAAAAAATAAAAAGACAGGACAAATACGATTATTTAAAAGTATGCATCATTATGAATATTCTTTTTGTATTTGCAAGTTTAATGTTTGATCAAAACTGCTTTCTGATGCCCTACATACATCAAGAAAGCCTAAATCTGTGTATATACACAACACATGCACACATACACACAAGGAATGTTCTCCTATAGGGCCATAACTCACAACACACACACAGACACACACACACATACTTGAAAAATCAAACTCTATTTAAAAGAGGAATTGTTGGCCTCCTGTGAGAGTGATTTTGCCACTGGCCTACACATACCCTAAATTCTAGAGATTTTTAGAATTTTATAGTCACTTTATAGTCACTTCTGGGGGTGGGGGTGGCACAGAATTCTGTTTCAGGAGCTTCAAAATAAAAGGAAAATATTTCAAACCAAAACTCTGTAAGTGTAGTCCCAAGGATAAAATTTTCAAATAGTCCACGAGTCTGACCCAGAAGGAGGGAGTGCAGCTAACATTTTCCCAAGAGAAAGGAAAGATCCAGACCAAAAAAGGAAAGATCCAGACCATGAGGGCACTCAAGTGAGCTTGTGAGGAGGAAGGAGGTGAAAACAAAAGAAGCCTCTAAAAGAAGATACCAAAGGCAATATTCTCACATAAATTCAGAATATCATTCTATATTTTATGCATATGAACATTTAGTACACATATACCCATGAAAACCCACTCAATCTAAAACTTTCTCAGACACATACACATACAACAACCAAATGATTAGTGTCTGGCCACTGCTCATCTGGTAAAAGACTGAGTCAACATAGCCCTGGGTCCTTGTTCAGGCCACCACTCCCTAGCTGTGTGACTGAGACAAAGCTGGTGCCTGCACTCCTACAGTCAGAACCAAGGTGACCTTTCCTGTCTCCTGTTGCCCAAGCATGTCTCAAGGATAAATAAGAAGTTCCATTACTGCAAGACACAGCAAGGGTAATTTACATGATAATGAGAGATGATTTATATCTGAACAGTGCAACCCATAGTTTTTTTGGACACACATCTTTCCAAAAATACACATAACAACAAAGTGGACAGATAAGTAGATGAGGGGCACCCTGCTTGGACTTTATTGCTTACCATGCTAAAAAGTTCCAGGTTGATTATTCATGGAAAATTCAGTATTATTAAATAAATTTATAAATAGCAGGGGCTGGGCTGACTCCCTGCAGTCAAAAATCTGCGTGTAACTTTTGACTTCCTCAAAACTTTACTAATAGCCTACTGTTGACTAGAAATCTTATCTATAACATGCACAGTTGATTAACACCTATTTTGTATGTTATGTGTATTATATACTGAAGTCGTACAATAAAGGAAGCTAGAGAACAGAAAATGTTATGAAGAAAATCATAAGAGAAAATATATTTACAATCATTAAGTGGAAGTGGATCATGGTATAAAGGTCTTCATCCTCATAGTCTTCAGATTGAGGAGGCTGAGGAGGAGAAAGAAGAGGAAGGGCTGGTCTTGCTGTCTCAGGGATGGCAGAGGTGGAAGGAAAACTCCACAGAAGTGGACCTGTGAGATTCAAATCTGTGCTGTTCAAAGGTCAACTATATATGTAAGATACAATGGTTTTCCCCTTTACCTACTCAGCTTCAGGTGGCCAGACCGACTTTGGTATAATAGGACAGTCTGAAATGTGCAAGAACTCCTGATTTTACATGGAAAACCTATATAATTATGCTACTTCCTTCTGGGTGAGCGTGGGACAGAGAGGATGAGAGTGTTCAAATGGGGTGGCGAGAATGGAAGCTGGGGAAGGGAGGGAAGTACCCTTCCCGTCTCTCTCTCTCTCACACACACACACCCCATATACAGTCCATCTCTACAATCACAGCCACCCAAGTGTTATAACTGCAACTGGAGGCAGATGTAGGAAGATTGAGGAAACTGGGATCTGGTGCCCGATGGCTCGAGAGGGGTCGGGGAAAACCCGCAGACCTCCTGAGTCTGAGATTGTGTGCAGGGTTGAGGCGGAGCCTGCGGTGGGGGCTGTCCAGCTGCAGGAGGCAGCTGGCAGAGCGGGTGGGAGGGTTGGGTGGCTGCTTTCACTTTAGGAGTCTCAGCTCTGAGTGAGAGTGTCCCTGTTGCCGGAGGACCACTGCGGGCTGGGCGCAGGGCCCCCGCCTCTCCCTCTCCACGCGACCCCGCAGCCGCGGTGGCAGCGGCGGCAGAGCCTCGCCCACTCCAATCCCCACCCTCTCCGTCCTTAGCCATTTAAGAACGGCAGCGCCTGGCACGTTCTTGGAGGACCCGGGCGCAGAAGAGGAAAGGGAGCAGGCGCAGGGGGAGGGCTGGGAAGGCAGCATGCGCCCGCCAGGAGCAACCTCGGCGCCCAGGGTCTGAGGCTGCAGCCCCAGTTCGCCATTGTGAGCCGCCACCGGGGGAACCCGCTGGTGCAGCTGTCCCCCAGGGTCCCCGTCCGCGCAGCGATGGGGCACCTGCCCACGGGGTCGCGCGGCGGCCGCCGTCTCCTGCCTCTGCTCTGGCTCTTTGTGCTGCTCAAGGTAGGGGAGCTCCCCCACCCCGCCCCTGCCCCGGCGATCCGGGCGCCCTCGCTCTGCCGTGCGGGAGCCGCGCGCCCGGGGCGCGATGGCCCGGCTGCGGGAAGCGCGCCGTGCAGCCCGGGCGCACGCTTTGTTGTCCTCGCGTGTGCGTGCTCCTGGTGGGCTTGAGGCACGGGGGTGGAAGAATGAGGGAAGTTTGCTCCCTCCAGCTTTCGCCCTTTGTGCTCTTTTACCGCCGCTGATACGCAAATCAAAGGTGGGCTTGTTGGCTAGTGTGTCTCGGGCAAAATGAGGTCACTTTCCTTTCTGGTCTCTGCTGCACCCCAACGCCGCCGTAACCTTTCCGCCCTCCCCCAACGGAGTGTGCGGCTGCTTTGTCTTAATTTACCTTCTGCTGGAATTATGCACTGGGGGAGGGAGGAGGAGGACTGAGCTCCCTGGCCACAAATGGACTGCCAGGGCTGGAGCGAGGGCAGGATTTTCTTTGAATAAGGAGTGTCAGGTTGAGCCTGGAGTGGATTCCTCTCCCCAAGTCTCGTCTCCTCCCGGAGAATTCCTTTTAAAAAGTCTCTAGACTTTCTCCACTGCATTTCCAGAGCATGCTACCTCTAAATCTAATGGTAGGAAAATATATATAATTCACTTTTTCCTATCTTCTTTGGAATGTGCTGCCTCGGGGTTTTACTTTGAGAAAAATTAAAAGGAAAGGAGCTGTTTTAAAAAATTAGTTTGACAAGAATACCGTAGATAACATTTTTGAGGACATATCAGCTGGATGTTTTCTTAGGAGGTGGCGTGAAGTTATGAAGTGATTGTCACTCGTGTTTTCAGTGGGTCTACTTTAGTTCTGTCATCAGTCCTTCCGCTTGTCGCAAAGCAAACTCGGGCATGTCGACAGGTGACCCGGAGCTGTCCTTTCAGCACCACAGTGGTACCTACCCTAGAAATGGATGAAACAGTAATGGATGCAAATGTTTTCGTATTAAAGAGTCATTTCTTTCTTATATGCACCATTAATTATGGATGCCTGACAAGACTATAGCGGAACAGGACCAGTGGATTAAGAACAGCATTAATTTTAAATACTCCATATTTTCATTTATCTTAATGGAAAAGAGAAAAAAAAATAGTTTCAGGGGGAAACAGCAACAGAGTGCCTAAGTAGCAGTCTAAATGACATTTAATAGGTTTTTTCATTATCTCTTAAATTATCAATAATCATTTTATTTTTAAAATATGGGGAATAATAAGCTCAGTCCTATGTTTTCACTCCAGGAGATTGTTTTTTGGTACACATCACAAATGTATTAGACTTACTAAGTTGTCTATTAGGTCGTGTTTTTAAGTTTGTCAAACTGTGTCATGACTGTTATAGATATGCAACACTTGTCATGAACCCAAAATGAGAAATCAAGTCATCATACATTTTACTGAGTAACAGCTAAGAATTATATGCATGACATGTGATTCAAACCTAACCATTGACACAACTTCAGTTTTTTACTTGAGTTCTTTATAATGGATGTGAATTCCAGAAGTGAAAGATTGATTAGTTTGGAAGTGGGGGTATAGTGTTGCCATTCAAATGCAAAAAATATGGCAAGAGTTTGACTCAAGGCTCAATATTGGAATGAGAAAATGAAGTCAGAGATAGCATAATAGTACCATTAGTCACTGTAATAGAGCTCCACCCTCTTTCACGTAATAGGTATATTTGTGAACATTTGCAGGGAAAGTCAATTATGGTAAACTGCATGACATAGAAAACACATTGACAAAGCTTGCCATTTAAAGAAGTATTATTGTAATGAGACAAATAATTTTGTAAGAAAAATCACTACTTTTTATTTTATGTGAATGCAATATTTTCATCACTCAAATATAAAATATAAGAGGAAGGAAGAAAATGTATATATATATATATATATATATATATATATATATATATATAATACCTACTAGGTGACAGTCTTTCAGATATTCCACATGTGTTATTTCATTAAATCATACTTTGCTACAGTTAGCAAGAGATGTTCAAAGTGGCAGATTGGGCACATAGCTTAATGTCTTACATTTAGGGGATAGTATATTACATGTTGCATTTGACATATAGTAGAATCTCTATAATTTGGAGATACTTTTAATTCAAGGTCCTCAATAAGTGCCAGTAAAATGGATCTACCATTATGGTGATGACAGGAATGTGGAAAAATCTCATTATTAAATACCAATTGTCAACTGGATCTCAATAAGAAAATCTAAAAAGGTCCATTGTGCTTTACCCCCCCCCCAAAACCCCCTAGTTTTCATTGTGACCAATAATTTTTTCTCTACTCCTCATGAGTATTCTCCAAGTAAGAGTGAAAATCTCTAAGGACTATAAATCAGACAAATTCAACTATGAGGCTTAATTTATAATTTTCCATTTTGCACAAGTCAAAAAGAAGCACCTGGATATAAGTGGCGGGAAAATACAAAAGTTTGAATCTGTATGAATGGCTTTAACCAGTTTCATTGAGAGAGCCTAATGTGACTGGCCATGAAGGTCTTTGTGCATCATTCCTTATCCATAGATTGGTGATGGGCACATATAATCAGGTGTCACACATTTTCTGAGTCATCCACCACATATTAGGACACAAATATCTGCATAACTGATGTTGAATAAACACAATGTTGGTCATGAAAACTTTTAGTTTTATACCAATATTAATAGTGTGTATATATATATATATATATATCTGTGTGTGTGTGTGTGTGTGTGTGTGTATAAAACATAGAAACAAAAATGGAACTCTGTTATCAAATGGGAACCTACTAATCTCAATGTCTTCCATCTAGGACTGCAAATGGTGAGTCTCCCTCTTGCGTATCTTCCCATAACTCCCAGTAAAAACAATGTAACTTCTCTCACCTATCCTATCTTTACTAAACCTCTCCCTAAAAATGGCTTCCTGTATCAGTTTCCTCAGTATCAGTACTTTGTCAACTAAGATGCACATTGTAGAATATGACATCATAGGAATTGGAAGTCTGCCTTCCCTGAAATGTTGCTTATTGGTAGTCAACTGGAATGTATCCCTAAACTCATAGGCTTGGCATGTATCCTTCTTTCCATTTTAATCCCCTCTCTACATTTCCTTTCATTTATGCTTCTACCGGAGATGTCATCAAAGAACATTAAATTTGAAAGAGGCCTTAATATTGTATTTTTCAAAAGAGATTTACATTTAATTCTATAAAGTATGAGTGTTATGATACTGGCTATTCTATTAATAGTCAAGAGAAATATCCACTTTCTGTGGCCTATTTGCCTTTCTCAACTTCCTTGTGCTCCTCTCTCTCCTTCTCTCTCTCTCTCTCTCTCTCTCTCCTCACACACACACACACACAAACAAACAACTCAACACAAATAAGTTCTTAACTTTCTGCGTTGAGGTTATCCTATATTATTCTCCTGTTGGCAGGTGAACCATGACCTTTGTTTCTTTGGAGCAGCCTAGAATCCTTCTCTCACAATGAATTTTCCTGCCTTAACTCTCTGTTAGCTTTACTCTTTTGATAAATGAGTTGTCCAGTCTTTTAGAGAAACCCTTTTACATGTGACATCCCAGTACGTTGGCGAGGCTCACCCGTGCTCTGCTGAACTACAGGTTGATATTGAGTTGATAATCTTTCCCACTGGAACATATGTTATGCTTTTGTTCTTTGTTTTATGAAAGACTGTTTGTATGAAAGGAATAGAAAATTTACACTATAGTCTTTGCCGTCATTTTGGCTCCGATGAAAATTGCATATCTTATTAATACATGCATAATGTTAAATAACATATGAGTTGTCCGCTTATATTTCTAAGGACTTCAGGATCCAGTATGCTTATAAGTTTAAATAGTTCTTTAGTTGGATAGACACAGAAATAATGCATGTTTTTAATATAAAGGCAACTCTATTGTTTTTAATCTCTATCACATGTTATTATAGACTATGCATTTTCATCGGAGCCAAAATGAGCAAAAGATATAGTCGTAAATATTTTCTATTCTTTTCAATCAACAGTCTTTCATAAACAAAGAGGCAAACATATGTTCACAGTGGAAAGATTATCCTCAAGTCACTGTAGAAGAAAATAATAAAAGAAAAAAAAACAAAAGAAAAAAAAAAGAAAAAAAAAATAAAATAAAACAACAAAAAAAAAATAAAAAAAAAAGAAAAAAAAGAAAAAAAAAGAACTAATAAAAAAAATAACTGAAAAAAAAAAAACAAAAATAAAAAAAAAAAAAAAAAAAGCAGGGACGGTGAGCCTCTGCTAACTACGTGGATGTTCACATGTAAATAGGGTTTCTCTAAAGACTGGCCTCATCATTTATCAAGAAGAGTAATCCTAATAGAAGAGTTAAGGCAGGAACTTCATTGTGAGGAGAGGATCTTAGGCTGCTCAGAGAACGAAAGGGTCATGGTTCACCGTGCAACACTGAATAATATATGCGAATGGATCTTCAACGCAGAAAAGTAATAACTTCCTTTGTTGTGTGTGTGGTTGTGGTTGTGCTGTGTGGATGGTAGTGTAGAGAGAGAGTAGAGGAGAAGGAGAGAGGAGCACGAGTTGAAGAAACGGCAATTATCAGAGCCACGAGAGTGGATATTTCTCCTTGACTATTAATGAGAATGGAGCAGATCATAATCACTCACCTTATAGAATTTAAATGTAAATCATCTTTTTTGAAAATAGACAATACTACAGAGCCTCGTTTCAAATTTATGTTTTTTGATGAATCTCCGGTAAGAGCATAAATGAGAGAAATGTAGAGCAGGGATTAAAATGGAAAGAAGGATACATCAAAGCTAGTGAGTTGTAGTGGATACATTCAGTTGACTACATAAAGCAACATTTACAGGGAAGCGACTTCAATTCCTATGTATGTCTAAGTTCTACAATTGCTCTTGTTGATCAAGTACTGATACTGAGGACTGATACAGCGAGCCTTTTTTAGGGAGAGGTT